CACACACACACACACACACACACACACACACACACACACACACAATACAACATTTTAAAGTCTAACATCACAATGAGCCTCAGAGATGTGGAAACTGGTTTGAAGTCAGTCCTCTGCTCTCTTCTCTAACCAGGTAATTTAGTGCGGAGGCATGCGCCGGAGTGAAAAACAAACGCCTCCAGCTGCAGCAGCAGACAGGTCAGGCTCCACACGGAGCCAAGAATCTAAAAACATTCACTTTACAGCAGCTGGAGTGGAGCGCGCACACACACACACACACACACACACACACACACACACACACACACACACACAGAACCATGAGTGCTGCAGGGCTTTCATTAATAACCAGGTTTGTGGGGCTGATGATGTAACTGCTCAGATGTCAGAATCATGATGGAGGATTTGAGTGAAACTCTCAGGAAGTAACAACAAGTCCAGCTGATGACGTTTAAACAACACTCAGGTTTACAGGAACAGTAAAGTTCAGCTCAACACAACAGAAACACAAAGGATCGTTTACAGTAAATCTGTCCTGTAAAGAATTTATCTGCAGATTTTTAACATCAGGGWTAGAAAAGACAGTAATGAAGAGACGACACCTGCTCCGTTAACACAATCACACACCAACACACAACCCTTCACATCACCTGACCCCTCCCTGGTCCCTGCCAGCTGCTGCTGCCGCCTCCCTGAGCCCCCCCCCCTCACCACGGTGAGGCTCCTGATCAGAAACCACAGCTTCAGGCTGGACTTGGTGTTGGTCTGTGTGTTGGGACGACTCTCAGCTGCAGCTGGTTCTGGTTGTCAGAACACAGGTGTGTTGCTGGCAGCAGGTGGTGGTGATGATGATGATGATGATGATGATGATGATGATGATGATGATCACTGGCTGAATGATGTAAAGTTGAGCAACACTTGGACGTGATGCTGACCTGCTTCCTCTCTCCTCTTCCTATTCAGCTCATCGTTCAAGGTTGTTTAATTCTTCCTCTTCAGGATGACATCAGACAGGGAGGGGGCGGGGCCAAAGTTCACGGAGCTCCGCCTGCCTCTGCGGTGCTCCCAACGGACCGTTTGATTGACAGCAATCAGGACTAAGCTCCCCTCCCCCCCTGCTCCTCGTGTCAGGACAAAGTGTCTGATTGTGTGTGTGGACAGCTTCTCCTGTCATTTATAATTATACAAATGATATTCAGCCTCAGCCCCCCGCCCCCCACACAGACCCCTCCGCCCAGCCTCCCACCAGACGTAGCCTTGAGGGCAGCGCCGTGTTGCCATTAGCATAAGAGTGTGTTTGTTTAAAGAGCCGAACGCCCATAAAATCAAACAGTTCCAGATGCAGACAGCCTCGGCCTTTTCACTGCATGAATAATCAGAGCTGCTCTGGAGTCTCTCATCTTTTCCTTCTTTTCACCTTCACATTCCCACCTGTGCCCCCCCGGACGCCTCCCGTCTCTCTGTTGTTATTCCCTCTGCTAATGAACCTGCCGGACCTCACAGGAAGTCAGAGAACTGGAGGGAGGAAGGATCATGGCCAATCAGGATGCAAGACGTGACGCTCACCGCCATGACCTTTAGTCTCGCTGCTGCCGGGTCACGCCAAGCCTCTGGAGTCATCTGTGCATGCAGAAGGCTGCCTGGACCCACCGCTCA